GTTAACGGAAAGAAACAAAACAACACCAAATTAACATCCATGTTTTATGTGAGAAAATTGGAAAAGACATGTCTAACTGTCTACCAGCATGTCGTGCACTCACTGGCTGTGGCACAACAAGTAGTTTGTACAGAATAGGAAAGACAATCAGCATCAGCAGGTCGTTTGTGACCCTGACCAGAGCTGTTTCAGTGCTGTGGGTGGAACGGAAACTGGACTGGAATTTCTCAAAGAGGCCGTTTAGTTGGAGATGGTCCTGAAGCTGGGCGGCAACACATGTCTAACTGTCTACCAGCATGTCATGCACTCACTGGCTGTGGCACAACAAGTAGTTTGTACAGAATAGGAAAGACAACAGCATTCACCAAACTCAAGACCCATCTCAGCGAGCTCAAAGGTCTGGCCCATTTTGGACTCTCTGCCAGCTTGGAAAAGTCTTTGCCAGTGGCAAGAGAATTTTCGCTTCTGCTATATAGAAAAAGGACTGATGTGCACAAACTTGGAAGAACTGAGGTTCATAATTGCATCAACAACAGATGCAGCCTCGGAAAATCTGACGCCAACAGAGGATGCATTTCAACAACATGTAAAGAGCAATGTTTCAGACAGCGATATGGTGTCACAGCCCGAACCCAAACCCTTGTTATGGAGTCCTGTTGGCAAGGGGTGGATTGTCAGAGATGGGGCCATTCAACCAGCGCTATTTACAAAACCCCAGCACCTACAGAAGTGAGAGACATTACTCACTTGTATTGCAAAGATGCAAAGTGTGGAGAGAGTGGAAAGTGCCAGTGCCTCTCTGTCGGCCTTCCCTGTACGGAGTTCTGCATCTGCTGTGCAGAATGTCAACATGTGTCCCCTAACGTTTCTGAGGAACCTGACATTCAACATTATATTCTAGTATCTATATACTTGACCTCTCACAGAATGATTTGATGAATTGTATACTGTACTTTGAATTACGGTTCCAGTTTAAATAAAACCTGTACTATTTACACCTATGTTTTAGAGGCTTGCTATTCAGAACTAATACACTTTATTGTATTGGGTTACTCTTATTCTGACTATTTGGTGATGTAGCCACCTGGTATTTCCCTCTCCAAATATAATGACCATCAGAGTGAGCATTCTTAAGTTATAGGCTATTGTGCCATTTATCCCCCATTCGGAGTTTGACTGTATCAGAGAAGAAAAATAAAGAAAAATAAATCTCATTTGCAATAGAACTGTACCAGATATTTCCATACAACTACTGGTTAGTGTTCAATAGCACCCTAGAAAATTCAGTAATGGTATTTTTTTTTTTTGGGATTTCTGTTTTCTGATAAATGAGACAAAATTGATGGAGTCCTATGTTCCTACTGTATCACCAAAAAGTACAATTTCCGTCTAAACTAAAGCTAAGTTTACAGGACTATAAATCAGTATTTCGTTAGTTAAATTATTGTCTGACTATTTGGTGATGTAGGACAGCCACCTGGTTCATAACTCAGCAAATCTGAAGAGGAAAAGAGTGGTCATTCTCAAGTTATGGGCTTTCTTGTCACCTTTCCCATATTCGGCCTGGTCTAATTTGGCTCTTTTTCAGGGATTGGGGTAGTTCTAAAGAACAACCAAAAAAACGTTTTTTCCCCCAAAATAAAATTTGACAACAATCAATTTCATTAATGGGAGACTCTAAAGATAAGAAAAATCATTGTTGTCATTTGTTCTACCTCGGCTAGGGGTATCTCGAAAACTAATGCCTTTTTTGAGGACTTGCTGCTGGACTACAGTGCCTCTGCATCAGGAACAGCAAATGTTTTGTCTCTGTGTCCACCTAATATCAATTCAAACACCATGACACAATTCCATCAGATTAATGATAAAAACCTAGAGGACATTATACAACTTCTGAAATCCTCCTCTTGCTGCCTTGATATTATTCCAACAGGATTTTTCAAAGATGTTTTGCCTTGCATGGCCTCAGATCTATTTCATATAGTAAACAAATCTCTTCACTCAGGTATTTTTCCACAGGCCCTGAAAACTGCAGTCATTAAACCGCTCTTAAAAAAGAATAATCTAGACGCTTCAGTAATGAACAATTACAGGCCCATATCAAACCTCCCATTTCTAGGTAAAATCATTGAAAAAGGAGTCTTTCAACAGTTGAGTAACTTTTTCCATTTTGTTACGTTCCCTCTTGGCTAGGGATACAAAAGGGAAACGACACGACCAGATTGGATTTGGTATATGTTACCGGTGGTTTTATTTGTAACGGCAACTGAGTAAATGATGTACACAAACGGCTTGGCCCAACAACGGGTCAATCTGTCACTATCTCACAAAAGGGTCTCCAAAAGAGAGTTGCCCAGTACTATACAAAAGGAAAGGAAATACCTCACTTCTAAAGTGGAAACAAAACAATAAACAGTCTACAGGTGCTAATCACCTGGATCTACGCAATATACACACGGGAATGCTGGTCTACAGGTGCTAATCAACCTGGATCTAAGCAATATACAGACACAAACCCTATACTAACACAGAACCCGACGACACGCTGCTAATCAGTGTGCTCGCCCAGAAACCCTACTGAATACACTGCTAATCAGTGTAGCTAACACAGAATACACACGGCTAAACAGTCTCAGAAGTCACAGAACGAAGGCAGTATCACAAGGAGAGGCTTGAGGCGTCTGTCACACAATACAGAGCCTCCCGAATGGTATCCGTGCCCAGCCTTTATACTCCTCCCCCGGATGACGTGGCAGAAGCGGGCAGGGCTTGGGTGACGTCTGTCCAATCCCCGCGGATGTTGCGAGGTCGAGACGGCCACTGACAGCATAGGAACTGCACAGCTCATTTGCATACACACACACACAAACAGAGTTAAGGGCACAAGGTAGCAGCGGCTGTAACACATTTAAATAACTGTTTCGATGTGTTCCAGTCAGGATTTCGTCCAAACCACAGCACTGAGACTGCTCTTGTAAAGGTCTTCAATGACATCCACTTAAACACAGACAGTGGCAGAACTTCAGTGTTAGTATTATTAGATCTCAGTGCTGCGTTTGACACTGTTGACCACAACATATTACTAGACCGACTAGAAAACTGGGTGGGACTTTCGGAAACAGTTCTAAATTGGTTTGAATCCTACTTAAAGGACAGAAACAACTTTGTTTCTATAGGTAAATACACATCTGAGTTGACAAATATGACATGTGGGGTTCCTCAAGGCTCCATCTTGGGGCCTCTTCTCTTTAACATCTACATGCTACCACTGGCTCAGATAATGAAAAACAACAAAATAAGTTACCATACAGTAGCTATGCAGATGACACACAAATTTACATAACCATTTCACCAGGAGACTATTCTCCAGTTAAAACACTGAGTAAGTGCATTGAACAAATCAATGACAGGATGTGTCAGAACTTTCTACAATTAAACAAAGACAAAACTGAGGTAATGGTCTTTGGAGCCAAGTCAGAACGTATAAAAGTTAGCGCTGAGCTTCAGTCTGCAATGTTCAAAACAACAGATAAAGCCAGAAATCTAGATGTAGTCATGGACTCTGACCTGAGTTTTAACAGTCACATTAAAATAGTTACTAAATCAGCCTACTATCACCTAAAGATCATATCTAGGATTAAAAGACTAATGTCACAGCAGGATTTGGAAAAACTTGTCCATGCTTTTATCTTCAGTAGACTGGACTACTGCAATGGTGTCTTCACAGGTCTCACTAAAAAATCTATTAGAAAGCTGCAGCTGATTCAGAACGCTGCTGCTCGAGTCCTCACTAACACTAAGAAAGTGGATCACATCACTCTTGTTCTGAAGTCTTTACACTGGCTTCCTGTGTGTCAAAGAATAGATTTCAAAATACTGCTGCTGGTTTATAAAGCACTGAATGGTTTAGGCCCAAAATACATTTCTGATCTTCTGCTAAATTATGAACCATCCAGATCTCTCAGGTCTTCAGGGACTGGTCAGCTTTCTGTCCCCAGAGTCAGAACTAAACATGGTAAAGCAGCGTTCAGTTATTATGCTCCAAATATCTGGAACAAACTCCCAGAAACCTGCAGGTCCGCTGCAACTCTTACTAATTTTAAATCCAGGCTGAAGACTTATCTTTTTGTCGCTGCTTTTAATTAAAACTGAGCTGTTGTGTTCATCAGTAAAGTGGAACTTCTGTGTGAACTATTCATATCTTAAACTGCACTGTAACTTTGTATTCATGTATTTTCTTTTATTATCTTTTACTGTTTTTAAATGCCTTTGTCTGAATGTCTTTCATTTTTGTAAAGCACCTTGAATTGCCTTGTGTTAAAAGGTGCTATATAAATAAATTTGCCTTGCAAAGCTCAGGAAGTTTGCAATGCCCTGACTGTTGAGGAGAGCCTAGATTATGAAATTGTTAAGACCACAGTCCTTCGAGCATATGAATTAGTACCGGAGGCATACAGACAAAAATGTAGGAGTGGTAAAAAAGGTGTCAACCAGACCTACGTAGAATTTGCAAGAGGAAAAGGTGGCCTTTTCGATCGGTGGTGTCAAGCCAGCAAAATCACATCCATAGAGGACATGCGTGAACTCATTCTTTTGGAAGAATTTAAAAATCAGCTGTCAGATGAAATTGTCACCTATCTAAATTAACAAAGTTGCGTCGCTTGCTGCTGCCGCGGTACTGGCAGATGAATTTGTGATAACTCATAGAAATGTTTTTTTATCTTCCAGTTCACCGTGATCCTGTGGCAGGTGACGGAAGAGTAAAATCTCCTCCCCGTGGTAGTGCCAAAACAGTTGATAGTGTGTGTGTGTGTCTTTCACTGAAGTCCGAAGGCTTGGAAATCAATGTTCTCTGTGTGGTATGAATACATTTCTGTAAGATTCAACAGCCAAAATATACAGCTTAGTTTTTCCTGAACAGAAATATCTATACAACTTGATAATGCCTTTCAGGATTGAGGTTATCCAAGCATTACACAAAGACAAGGCAAACCAAACATATGAAGAAAGGGTTTTGAGAGTTTTATGACTTGTTTCAGGAAAGTTATATGGGTAAAAATAGCATGACGACATTATTTGTTATACAATTTTTGGTAAAGCATTAGAATCTGTTAGTAAAACTGAAATATGTTTTTCTTTTTTTATATTTTATTTGCATTTTGCATGTTTTATATCTTCATAAGAACAAATGTGTCAAAGAGAGTCTTTGTTCATTGGGGGAAATTGTTACACAAACGGTGTTGCAAAGAAACCAAGTATGATCAGATCTGCAGATGGCTTGATCCTTTTTCAGGACATGTACTGTATTCTCTTACAGAGGACTTCATGTTGGGTCACAATGTGTCCCTTATGTCTCTGCCCTTCACACCTCTGTCAGGGTAAGGACACGTGTCCATGAGGCGAAGGTGAAAGGAAGCGAGGCGAGCCAGGACCTCCTCCAGGGTGTCAGCAGGAACAAGGATACATAGCCTGAGAGAGAGAAAGAAAAGCACGATTGTCATTTTTTGAGAAAATGCAACATGCCTAACTAATGTGACATGTCTCTCACCTCAGATAGTGGTTTCCAGTTGTCTCCCCATTCTGACATCCTGCGCCTAAAAACACACCTTCCTCTTTAAGTAACATCTGACAGTACAGAACGCATGCCTCCACCTCCAATTTCTGAAAGCAGAGGGGTAGATGTTTTTATTTCTAGCAGAATGACTCTTATAGGTATCGTGTGTGGGAGAAAAACTCCCTTTGGAAGGAACTTTTACAGTCGGATTTTGTACAAAAGTAAATAGCTGTGCAAATATGTTTCAAGTTGAATTTAAACAATGAAAAATACATGGAGGAAATGACAGGCTTCATAAAAGCGACTTTTATACACAAAAAATACAGTTGACAGTAATACAAATTATACACATCTATACAATTGTTTACATATTTACAATAACAGAAATCTATGCTTGTTTTGTTTTTTTATCTTATCTCGTTTTGTCTATGTCCCTCTTTCTATATTCCTACCTACATATTGTCGTAGTCACTACCTCTGCTTTGGGAACTGCCCTTTGTCCTGATAATAACAAATGAAAAGTAAAATCAAATTGCCTCATCATGCATGGTGATATCCTCTAACCATCAAATGTCATGACATTGCACTATACTGTGTTACATGAATAAGAAGGTTCTGGTAACATATTTTCCCACCTTAGCCTTCTCTATAATCTCAGATGGTAAATGCAGGCGGGGGTAAAGGTAGATTCCCCCCTTCGCTGGCTGACTGCTCATCCCTGGTAGATCATTTAGGAACTCATGAGCCCGCTGAGCATTCTGGGACAAAGTGGCCTGAATGAGGAGAATCTCCTTCAAAAAAGAAGAAGAGTAATTAGAATCACAATACATAAGAAGGACCTACAGTATACATATACTTCTGCCATATGGGAAAATGATATGCTCTGCAGCCGTGTCACCTGTGTGTATGTGTCATAGGAAGGGTCTCCAGGTCTTGGTGGGTTGACCATGAGAACCAGAGCAATCTGTCCTGTAACTGGACTGCTGATATCAGTACACAGCATAGTATCAACAAAATGCATCACTTCAGGGTCCATGTTGACCAGCTCCATGTATCCTGCCCTCAGACCACACCTGGGAAATGGATGCAGAAGTTATTAGCGTACTTGTTTCCTCTTTGGACATTTGTGGTCCTTCTTTAGCGGTTTATACTCTCTCTTTGCTTTAAATGTTAAACTCTCTGCTCAGCAGGTTTTGTCAGTTTTGCTACGATGGACTTTTCACTGGGACCATGTAGAACAGAATACTTTCTAGGAGTACCCCATGGATTTATGTAGGGATCATGGGATCCTTAGCATGTACTGTATGTGAATTGTTGTTTGATACTTTCAGCAAACACAATATCAAAATCAAATCAAAATAACATATCCAAGCTCACAAAATTGCAAGTATAAGAGACAGAACTCACTCTCCCATGCAGGCGCTGGATAGAGAGTGGAGGGAGACCATCTGCACTGTCCCTGAGTACTCTTTGCCCATCTCAAACAGGACTCTTTTAAAGGAAATAAACTCTTTCCCTTGTCCATACACACTGTCCTGGTACACCTAGTGCACAGAGGGAAAGGAAGAGATCAATTATCCACAATTATCCTCATTTCATGTTTCTCTGTCTACACAGGCAGCAGGCATTTGGCCTTTGGGCTGGGACACCATGGTGTATGAAGAGACTGTTAACTTAAACTGATTTCCTCAGGCTCTCTCTCCTCCTTACTTGTGAATATAAACAAAGCGAGGTTGTAAATATTCTCTTTTTCATTCATTAATAGACTGAATGTGTGCTATGTGTCAGAGAACAATTCTTATGACATGGCTTTGTGGAGCTTGCTTCTCTGCAAGAACCTTAACTGGTTATGTCTTGCTGATGGAAACTCTGATAACCGACTTTGTCTGAGGGGGAAAAGCGCCGTTTAGGGAAGAATATCTCAGAGTTGGTTTGGGCAGAGACGATAGAATTTGACTGTAACTTCTAATACAATTTTAGTTTCGAACATCAGTTTCAGCTTGTGTTTGGGTCCTTTGTTCCCAGAGTTTTATCACAATAATGAAAGAAGCAGAAGACTGCCAGGTATTCTATTGAACCCTAAAGATGCGGTTCACCTCATCGACCAGCAGTAAGAGTCTCTCCGCTGCTGCAAAGCGAATCACTTCCTCTATTGATTTCCAGTCCTGCACATGACCTAGGAGGACAAACAGCAGCATGCACAAAGTGATGACAGCAAGGACATTTAAACTGGTGGCATAAATGTATTTACTGTATGCAGTGGTGGAGAAAGTATTCAGATCCCTTACTTCAGTAAAAATACCAATACATTAATGTCAATAAACTCCATAACAAGTTAAAGTACTGCATTTATACCTCACTTCACTAAAAGGACAAAAGTATTTTCAGAAAATGTATTTAAAGTATCAAACCTAAATATAAAAACCTTTTATATTACCTCCGAATGTGATATAATATTAGACATATGACATTATTATTTGCATCAAGTAGCAGTTTCCTGTTTTAGACAAACAACATTTGTTTCTTTTTTGGTAATATATTGGATAACTTTAACCAAAATGTCACTGTTCAATCTTTAGAGATGCAAAACATTTAAAAAAGGTTATCACATGTCTTTGACGCACAATCCTAATCTGAAAAGTAACAAAAGCCAAACAATAAAAGTCATGGAGAAAATTACGTTACTTATTTCCCTTTTCACTGAAGTGGGGTAGAAGTATATATTTTATTTTAAAAAGTAAAGTTTAAATGCTTCAAAATTGCACTCAAGGACAGTGCATTGGTAAATGTTACTTTCCACCACTGACTACAATAGTTACCTGTGGGGGTTCCTGGGTTGCTGATGTAGATGGCTCTGGGATTGCAGCCCCCCCGATCACATTTCAGAGCACGGTGCAGCTCGCTCAGATCTACAGCCCAGCCTCGGTCCTCCATCAGCTGGTACGGCACCAGGGCCACCCCGGCATCATCCAGCAGTGTGGGAAGGGTGTGAGGGCAGGGCCTGGGGGTCAACACGCCTGTCTGAGTGTCCCCCTCCCCACTGGCTAGCAGCTTCAAAATCACCTAAACACAGCAGATCAGTATGCATAACTCATTGAATATTGATCAGAGATATGCTACACTGTTCCATCATTTTCTATTCTATTCTAAGCATTGAAGAATAATTGTAGTTATTTACAACTTGTTGCCTTTTTTTTCGGGTTATTTTATCAGTTATGACATTAGATGAGATGTAGGAATGTAGTGTTTGTTATTGCCAGGAAGTTTAAGTCAGGCTAAAAGCTATAGGAATGATGGACAGATGCTCAACTCTTCCAAATCAGGTCCTTTGGCTCCAGACCTACTTTTTTCATCACTGTCTTTATCCTGTCATCAAAAACAATTTCAACCATCCTGAGTCAGTTCATGTCATGAAATGAAAGTAAGGCAACCTATGCAATAAATGGTTGAACAACACTTCTTTCAGGGAGGGCAAAATGCCATGGTTAACGTTTACAGTTCAACTGAGGACAGAAGTTTTTCAAAGTCTCTCCCGCAGGTCAACACTTTTTCTTATCTTCCCTTTCTAAAATCTGTTCATCTTGTTTTTGTCATTGTGATATTTTGACAAACCTTAGCCTTTCTAGCACAAGAGCACTATAAATGATGTAGCTTGAATACATTTTCACTATAACTCCAAGATAACTATGGCTGAGCATGCACTATTTTTATTGTTGATCTTTTTGAATGATTTTGTATGGCTTATATCTGACTACATTTAATTGTTGAGGACACAGGGTCCCAAGTTTTTCATTCATTACACAACTACACTGTAGATGTGTTTATGATACAACATTAAACCTTTGATCTTTGAATCTTTTAAATCTTGAAATAACCCTTTAACGTCATATAGTTCAACTAGATTTAACTGTGATATAGTTTCAGAGAGTATCTGGACGATGAAACATGATAATATTGTAATGACAGCTTATTCATACCATGAGGCCCCTTTGAGAACCAGCAGAAATGAATACATCTTTGGCGTGTGAATGCACTCCGACGTCACGTCTCATGATGAACTCAGCGATGCTTTGCCTGACGTGAGGCATGCCAGAGGAGTCTGTATAGGAACCTGTGAGTGGATCAATCAAGCTATATCTTAACATAGCAGTTGGCTGCGATTTCCGTCAGAGAGATTGTTTTTTTTCTAGTCCTTACCAACACTTCCTCCATCGCAGACCTCCAGGAGCCGCTGAGCCCTCAGCCTGACATCCAAAGGTAGAGTTTTGTTTTCCCAGCAGCTCAGGGTGCAGGCAAACGGCCAAAACCTGAGGAAAAGGGCCGTATTTAGAGCAATAAGTGAGAGAATATTTACATGACCATGTCAAAGGAACATACCCTAATATCCCAGTCAAGTACATGGTTACACAAAGTCCAACACAACAGAATATACAGAGAGTGATCAAGGAACAACAAAATGTGTTTGATCAGAAGAATTTAGACAAATATATAATATAAAACACGCAATATTTCATTACAGTGACTAAAATAAAGATATGTACAGATGAAGAAGAATAGGGCAGATGCCATTTGCACCCAGGTGCCCAAATAAAACAATGAGATATGCACCCCATGGTGCCATGGTCAGTTTGGCAATGTACACCCGTATGAATATAGCATGGCAAAAACATGCACCCATGTGTCTATAGACAATAATGGTATTTACACCAAGGCACATATTAGGAACATTCCTTTCTTTAAGATAAATTAATTCCCTTATGCGTCAACTTGAAATTCCCCTATCGTGGATCAATAAAGGCACATTTTTCTTCATCACTGTAGGTATTTACACCCGGGTGTATCTGTCTTTACTGTTTCTGTGACTGCCTGGTAAGGTAAGCTGAACATCAGAGACAAATACCACCTAGGCCAGGGGTAGGCAAGTAAGTTTGGCCTTGGGCCAATTTTTTGCTGAGCCGCAAGATGGCGGGCCAGAACATAATCAAAGCCTAATTCAAGGAATTGATTTTGGTAAGAGGGCGCAGCGCCCCTGTTCCCCGGTTCAGAACAAACTCTGATATCGCTGATAAGCCTCCCCATCAACACTCTGATGCGCAGTCAGATCCGCTGATTGGTTCACTGATGATATAGGTGCCCAATCCAGAGCCTCTGGCTAGACCCGCCCAAAGGGAGGCTCGTCCTCTCTAGCCCCATTTCAGTCCCAAAGCCAGGGCTAGTATCTGTATTTTAACAGACTTATCTTTTAAATTGAGGTGTATTTATTGTTCTCTTCAAAGTTTATTTTTCTCTGAAATTGTAGGGAGGATGGTCCTCCCTTTCCTCAATGGACGAGCCTCCACTGAGTAAAGTAGAGTTATTAACTAGGTAGCACTGTTATTTAACATACTTGTATTCTGATAAGTATTGTCAAGTTCTCTGGGTTTTTGGCATTTATTTGAGTGTTTGCACACATTTGAGAGGCTTGAGGGGCAACAGAGAATCCTTTTTCCTTTTCTTTATTTCAACTTTTCAAGGACACATTAGGATTCTTTCAGGTTGAAAACCTTTAAAAAATACCAAAGGACAAAAATAAATCAATTACAGCATGTTTTGCAATTTAATATATTATAACCTAAATTAATCAGTAACCAAGTATTTTACTCAAACTCAATGTATTTAATACAATAAGTACTTTAATTGACCTGGTTCCCCCCAACCACACATTTGCCATATGTGACCCGCTCTATCGAAATGAGTCGAAAGTCGCAACGGCTCATTTCAAAATAAACGTGGATTTGCGTAAAAAAACTAGTTTTTCGGGGATCGGGTGTTTTGTTTGATTTTAAATAAACAAAGTCTTGGATTTCAGAATAGGAAATTTTTATTTCCAAAATCACACGATAAATACATGTTTGAAGCTTGTAAAGGGAAGATGACAGCTCTCCCTCGCCACTCTGCTCTTCCACAGCGCCGCCTCCCCTCCCTCCGCTGACATTATGAATGTAAGCGGATATGTCGGGACAGAATTTATTTTACCGGACAACATTTGAAACTCACCGGTCATGTTTCAATAATAATAATAAGAATTGTGTAGCAGAGTTTCCGTTAGCAGGTAATCACCGGACTATGACCGGATATGCTGATGTTTAAAACTCAGTTAATGGGGCTCATTTTTATATTGCTTCAGTTTATAATCGTTACAGATCGAAAAGTTCAGATTCATTTTTCAATAAATGATTCCACAAACAACAAAAAACATCATTATTACATTCAAACAAACTACTTGTAGTAAATGAAGATGTACATTATTCAAAAGTTTACATTAACTTTGAATAATAACACGGGAGAAACGGATGCTCTCTTTTCCCCTCTCCCTCCCTCTCTCTCCTGACAGCCCGTCAGTTTCTCATGCAGCTCACTAAACAGTGGGCGGGGCTTCAGGTGATTATGCAGAGCTGCGTGTCTCCGTCAGACTCAGCAGCTGATCTGATCTCTCTCTCGGGTCCGGTTATACTTCACTCGCGTTTATGACCATATCGATCAGATCCAGCTCTCCTGATCGGCCTTTATAGAGAGCACCGATCAAACTATTAAGAGTGAATATCGGCCGATAATGACCGGCGGCCGATCGATCGGCGGCTAACGGAAACCCTGATGTGCGACTGTCGGTCCTATGTTGTAAAAAAAAAAAAAAAAAAATCTCAAAATAATATTTAATTTTTGATTCTCAAAATTACGGGCCAAATATTATTGCTGGCGGGCCAACAATGGCCCGCGGGCCGCCTGTTGCCGACCCATGACCTAGGCCATATTGTAAACGTGGACAAACAGGTCTAATTCAATCATTTTGTTGATTTTCTCTAATAAAAAATATGTATAGTCCTACGGTTAAAGGTGGGGTAGGTCATTTTGGAGAAACCAGCTTGAGTGCGCTAGAATTTGAAAATACACAGCCGGAACAAATCTGCCACTTCCTCACAGAGCCCCTCCTCCAACACACACGAACGCGCACATGCAGGGCCGCCCCTGGCCAACTTGGGGCCCCAAGCGACATTGTGAGATGATACTAGTTAGTTAGATAGTTATGATAGGTAGTTCCCTCTGTCAGCAATGTATCAACAACCACACACACATTTATATCAGTATTTCTCTGTGTTGTGGTTGACATGATGATGACTGTTAGGAGTTAAGGGGAGAGGCTGAGCATCACCATGAAATGTGCAAATTGACATAAAAATGAATAAAAGGGGAAACAATGCTCCGTTTTAGGCTGTAAACTTTAACTGTTATGTAAGCCAACTAGACAGACAGTGTATCACTCTTCCTCCTGCACATTAGCAGATAACAGGCATAACATACTTGAATGAATGTTAAATAAAGAATGCTGGAAATAACTGCATCTCCATTAGCCTATATGCTATGCAGAGACTGCCTTCTTCATGTTGTGAATTGCAGCTGATGTTTTAATATGGCAATTGGCAATTTGACTTATACAACATTCGCAAGTTGTACATTTGACTCATACAATAGCTCACCTTCGAGTGATGCTCTAGTTTCTTCATGTTTTGTTTTTTGCGCCGGACTGAAACTGTCTTTTCACCGACATCTCTTCACCTGCACTAGTGGCCGTATCAAAGCCGTGATTGGTCAGATGTCGATTCATTGCAACGGTGTCGGGTTACAGACGTGATCCGCTTGTCACCTCTCACTCTAGCGTGTCAGCGGGGGGTGCGCGGAGAACTGCGCACAGCAGCTGAGGCCCTCTGGGCGGGGCCCCCTGCGCAAGGCGGGGACCCATGCAGCCTGCGTGATTGGCCTGTAGAAAGGGGCGGCCCTGCGCACATGACCAATGAGGGCACGAGATAAGTTTGTGCACAGGTGGAAGGCTGACAGGCAGGTAGGCCATCCAGTTATTTTAGCCGGGCCGGCTCAGATGATTGGTCGTGCTTTTTACAGCGCTACGGCTTCCACAGATGACATTTCTTTATGGATTTATTGTCAAAGCATTTAATATATTCATTGCTATCGGGATGTTAAGAGCATTCCATGGAATATAACAACAAGTGTATCTCGAGCCGGTTTCTCAAACTTACCTACCCCACCTTTAAGTACTGCCAAAATCACTTCACACATGTATGTCCTCCTACTGGTTATAGTAGGCCTATAATACTTTTATCTTTTCACCTTTACAGGAACTTAACCGGGAACTGCTGAGACTGGGATGGATTAAAAATGGTGGGATTTCAAACACCAATTGGTGTGTCCAATCTCGTCTAACATTTGGAAGCTAAGCAGGGTTGGGCTGCTTCAGTATGTAGATGGAAAACCTGGACTCTGGTTGGTTGGTTGAACGTCATGAAGTTAAAATAACCAAATAGGTACCATTTGACTTTTCTTACCCGGGTGCAAATGGATACTTGAAAATGTAAAACGTAACAAATAAACTTGTTAAATTAAGAACTAAATAAGATATTTTTACGAAGTCTGACAGCATCCAATCATGAAAAACTGTTTTAAAAGTGTGTGAGGACAGACATCTCAAAAGGCAAAACTAACCTGACGGACAAATGAGATGGGTTTCATGCCGGCTTTGTGGGGATCACCTGAGCTGATGTCAATCACCCCTTTGAAGGGTTTCTGCATCCCCTACAGGGGAACACATTCACAGGAAAAGGATCAGGTCTAGTCTGGATTGTAGAACCAAATAACCCACCATAACTATTCAAATATCCTTGAATTATAAATATATTAAAACTCCTGCATTAACTTAAGGATAGAGAATTCATTTTTGACATTACTTTACATCCTTGCATTTGCCAAAATCCTTCTTTTTTAATGCACTGGTCATCATAAATACACAAAAGCTAACATAAAATAACACCTGATTTGCGAATTCAAACATTAAATATGATGGAAATAAGTTACCAACGTTCCATTGTGTTATCTAATTGTTTTTACCGTATTCATCTGAGGTGTCTCCCCTTAAACATTAACATATAGAGCTATATTTCTCCAGTATACAGATTAAGTGTGTGAGCTGAATAAATAAAGATAAAGATAAATATATAGATTAGCGGTACTTAGCCTACCTGTGCGATCTCTTGTGTGACGTGTGCAGCAAGACTCTGAAGCCCACTGTGTGCTGACTCTCTGATCCCCTTCACTGTGGGGTTTACATGTTGCAGGGAACTCATCGTTGTTTTTTCTAAAACAGTTTTATTTAGGATCCAAACTGTTCACTTACAACTGCTTATAATGGCTCTTGTTGCAGCAAAATGTGTCACCCCACTGCAAAACTCTTAGTGCGTGCACAAGAGAGGGGTGAATGGCTGACCAGGTTCTCTCTGTCAGTCAGTTCACCCATTTGATGAGTAATCCATCTTGCTAATATTCTGCGACAATCCAATACATAAACCTTATATCTAACATGGACTTTCTTAACAGAAAAAACAAATCTTCCAGAAACACAATGAAGGTGGCAAAGGCTCCTCCAATAAAGCTTTTCTAGCTTTCAAGAAAAGCTTTGATCATCAATAATTAAATAATACATTTCAAATTATGGAAATTAAAGTGATATTGTAAAAAACAAGCTAGATGATAGACTAAATTAATATTTTTGAAACCCAAGGAAGGAAGTTGGGCAGGGGCCATTGGTTCAAAAGCATTTTACGTTTCTTAATTTTTTTTTTTTAAATCACAGTCACTGTATGATGACTGCTCATTTGCTTCAAAGCCACAGAATGCAGTACTTCAAATCAATGGAGTTTTATGGTTTTGGAGTTAATGGAGCGCAAGCACAGTTTGTTCCTTGTGACTTAGATAATCATCATCCAGTATCAAAACACTCAGGGCCTGCTCACTTATTTAACTGTGCGCCCTTTGATTCAGATACAAGGCTTGTATATGTACATAGCTACAGTACAGTGTAGTTATGACAATGACATTCTTAGGTCACATGCTCCTCTAACAGTGCAACACAATAAAACAGATATGTGATGCCAACCATGGATGTTATTATATTAAAGGGGCCATATTTGAGCTTTTCTGGGTTTTTCCTTTCCTTCGGTTTTTGTACATGGTCTTCAAAAGTTCATGCCAGAGGGATATTCTATCACACACACTTCCCCCCCCCTCCACAGCCTGAAACACCTCCATTGATTGGACTCCTTTCTTTACTTCCGTAACATAGTGACATCATTATGTAACATGCGCACTTCTATTGGCTAGCGCTCACACACATTGTGACGGATAGGCTAAGGGACGGGACATTTCCAACACATCTCTAAGCGGGACATGACCAAACAGAACAGAGCCGGCCAGCTAACCAATCAGAGCTGGTTTCAGACAGAGGGTGAAAAGAGGCAGTGAGAAAAATAAATACCTTTTTGAACATTAAAGCATGGAGACATGTCAAAGTAGAGGCACACAATACAAATATAAACCTGAAAATGAGAATAATAGGGCCCCTTTAACACTGCTTTTATAATTCAACTAAACATTTTCCGATATACTATGACTTTTATGGTATACTATAAATTGACCGTTGATGTCACAATGGCTCTTAACTTAAAGAACAAACCGATTAGAATTTGGTGTTCAAAGTTGAAGGACACTGCAGTGTGATCCCTGAAAGAGTTGCAACGTTTTGGGCCATAACTCAAGAAGGCAGGTGCTCTTATTGAATATGGTGGAAACTGATTTACTTGGGGAATTGTTGCTTGAAAAATAACTAACCAATTGTTGCAGCCCTAGTCTTGACTTTTGAATTTTCAGCTACATGTTAAGTGTTCATTTGCTTTTAGTATGCCAACCTGCTAAGTTACTCACTTCGGTGATGATTGCAGTAAACGTCGCCACGGCTAAACAACAGAATGTGAGATTTGCTATTGTGAGAATCTTTACATTTCTCCTATATATTTTTTGTTTCGTAGTTGGGACGTATTTTTTTTCAGTCAAAATAATTGGAGCAGAGGCGGAGGTATTCTGATTTCTAAGACCCTTTCAGAGATAAAATGTGCAAGATTGCTGCTCATCTGTCTGGTCGAGTTATGGCTTTCAATTATCTCCTCAATGTACTTTTCTATTTACTTGTCAAGATCATTTGCTGCTGCTAGTTTTGCGCTTCATGTCTTAAAGGACGGTGCAGCGCCGAGTACAGTGTTGTGTCTCATGAAATAAGGATGGACTGTACCTTTAAAAGAGGAGCACAAACGTAGATACAGTATGAAGGAACTTTTATAAAGTGAAACTTGGACAGGGTTTGTAATGCAGAGTAATAATACTGGACAGTTAGCATAGATACAGAAGGGAACACAACAGGAGTCAAATCGAAGAAGATCTTTGAATAGAAGTCCCAACACAGTGCAACTGCAGGAAAAGAGAGGTTTGTGTGAACAATATATGATATATTCTACACAACATTACAGTATATGTTCAATGATTTGTCATCCATTAAAACATCGGTTTGATAAATAAAAGCAGTTATATACAATAAGAAAAGAGGATGATGGGAAGGAGAAGTGGCTACAAGTAGGAAGGGGCGTTATTAGGTCGAAGCCATGCAGGGGGTCATTTTGAAGCAGTTTTTTGGCAGATCCAGGACCAGGTATGACACATCTGTTGATAAGAGCCCGATGATATGAACGGATCCTGGTTCTGATGGGTGGCTAGGGGAAACAATTCTAGTTTTAATGTGATAGCCCTGTGCAGGTGACATCCAGGGGGTGCTGTGAGGAATATTGTCTCCCCCTTCGGGAATCCTCATGCCCCTTTTAAGGTAGTATAGATTTATTTAGAGCCCTTTGAAGAGCTTCTCGATCGAGGTGCAAAACTGCAACTTGAGAAAGGACTTCTGTGAGGCTTGGCGAGGATTTGTTTGTCCACTTTGTGCTCAGAAGCCACTCGCCACATGGCTTCATATGATCTCCCCAAAAAAAACCAGAGCAGACTTCAGTCTTAAAGCCCTTTAAACCCATTTCATGAGAAGTGGTCCGAGTGAAGCGAATGGATTCCTCCTCGTTTGTGAGTCGTTTTCCCTTTAAGGGCCAATATTCCAGTTGTAGAGAAAGTATTTATTTACTGTTTTTAAGAGTAGTAATTACATTGGCAACATCGAAGGCACATACATGATAATAACTTGTTTGCTGCCTTTGCTTTTTCTTCCACATACCTGTAACCTGAGTTTCCTTCTCCCTGCGGTCCTGTCGTTCTCACTACAGACCAAAACACAGTAAGAGTGGATCTGATGAGCTTCAAACTAAGTTTCCAAAAGTGTGAGTTCATTTCAGTTCATTTCTTACGCATTATACCATATACTTTAAAAAGTTCAGTTTCGAAAAGTTACATTATCGACAAATTGGACCATCAAATCTAGTAAAAATGCCTCTTAATATATTCTAAAGCTCAAGGTGGCATCTTCATTTAGCTTAATAATTCATGATCATATAACAAATAGAAAGCTGAGTATTTGTGCTTGAAAACAACTTGAATGAAGAATTAAAACACATTTGGTGCAGATTTACTTCGTGTCTGAATGGTTTCTATGAAAGCTTCAGAAGAAACCCATATCCAGTTGGCTCTTAATGTGTTTCAGCCTCCATGATTGTTTTAATAGCTTAGTTTCTTTAGGTTTTCTTTAAGTCTGTGAGATGCTTCTGTTTGTCTTTTGTTATCTCTGCTGTTGTCCAGCATAGCGCTTTAAAGTCTCACATTCTGTGAAAGAACATGTTCTTTATTCCAGTTATAAAAGGATTGCAAGTGGCTGCTGCAGAGCCTGTTGTTCTCACAGCTCTGTGTGAACAACAGTTCACCGCCACAGTTTGAGTCGCAGTGTAGCGCCCTCTGGTGGGCGGGGGGGCTAGCTGCGCTTTGCCGTCACCTGTTGCCTGAGCTTCTCCCTCCTCTTCTTCTCCATCAGCCTGGAAAAGCAGAAAATCAATATTATTTTTGTTATATATCTGCTGTACAATGTCATCCCATGCCTGCGTTTTTTTAGATCATCTTCAGATCTAACAATTATTATTTCAGAATAACCTGGAACAGGCCAGATCAAGGTAAGGTTTGATAAAGACAAGCAGATTTTTGATTTCAACAAAAAAAAAACATACTATATATGAACATATCATTTGAATATCTACTAGCATAAATGTGACTGTGCTGCTATGATTTGTTTTATGACTGTTGAAGACATTTTAATGGCATACATTTATGGTAACACTGAAATATTACACTTTTTCATAGCGGACTGATATAGTATGTCATAAAAGTGTTTAGTGAATGCACAAACAAATCATTAAAATATAGAAGGAAATTAAAATGTCCAAAAGAGCCATATTTTCTTTTGACTTTTATACAAACTACTATACATAGACTAGTGGCAGGCGGCCTCAATCTAGCAAATATGTGAAAAACACTGTAATTAATTGAATTATCATCTAAATGTAATATAATAAAATGAATAATGAATAAATGTCTGTCAAAACAAATGATTAAGTACATGCTTCCTTTCTGAATCTTGGTGGTCAGTCACCTGCGGTTCCGGGCCTCCACCAGCTGGCTCAGCTGGTCCTGAGCCGCTCTGAGCTCCTCCAGGCTCTGCTGGTAGCCCAGGTCCCCGGACCCCGACCTCTCCAGGAGGGACACCTGGGTGGACAGCTCGCTGGTTCGATCCCGCAGCCGCTGGATGGACATGTACAGGTTCTCATCGTCCTCCTCCTGCAGCCACAGTGAGGAAGGAGACGGAGAGGAAAGTGGAAGTTATCATGTATAACTTCTCTCCTATAATCCTAATTGCATAGATGCTAATACATAAATAGCAGGGCTGTCAACGTTTACACATTAACGCTAGTAATCAACCTTTAAACCGTAACCTGTAAAAAAAAAGAACCGCAAAGGAATCACATTTCTAAGTTTAACCCGAAGTTGCTCCAAAAGCGTGGATGTGTACCATTAATTGCATAACAGTGAAAAGGTAAAAAAAGCATTGGTAACGGTACAAGCTACATTTATTGCACTGTCTGGAGACCACTGGACAACAGGAAGCATACTGCACTACCTCCGTGTAAAGGAAAAACTTCACTTTATAATGTGCGAAAACTCTTACAAATGTGCCATGCATTTGTTTGTTTTATCTCCCCCAACAACTGGTTTACCTTTGCATTGACGATCTCTATGTGGACCAGAAGAGAAGCCAGCTCCAGCTCTTCACTGTAGCTGTTCTTCAGGGGGATGCTCCTGTAGCCTGGACACACACACCACTAAATCAACACTTTTTGGCAAAAATGATTTACAGTTCTACAGTTAACATCATAAGATCATGTTATCACATGAGCCCAGTCTGCTCTGATTGGTTAGCTGGTTGTCCCGCCCCTTAGCCTATCACGTAAGATGCGTTGGAGCGATAGCCAATAGAAAAGGAGTGTTAAGTAGTCATGTCCCTATGTAACGCAGGTAAACAACTTTAATAATCAGTTAATCCGTTTGTTTTTTTCTCTCTTCTTTGAGTTTTTGTTTTAACTGTACCTCATGATGTCATGTATGCCCGGTAAAAAAAAAATTCAATTTCGAAAGAAAGAGGAGCTTATTAGGACCAGATGACATGGCCTAGTATGTTTTTAAAGGTGGGTCTTTGTATTATATTTGTGCATGCTGTTGTAAATACTTTGTTGTCCTCTTCCCTCAGAACATTAATTACTGTTGGCTTCTTTCAGAACTTAACTAAGACATTGAATGTGCTGGGGTTCTGCTATTATTCCACATTCACCTGTGCGTAGCAGACGGACAGGGAAGGTGGCCTGTGCCAGGAAGTTAGGATCGCTGAACATGTCCTCCTCGTAGACAGTGAAGCGCAGAAAGGAGAAGCTGGGGTTGTGGATGTCGAACACAAACTGCCTCTGCACCCACACAGGGTTCAACCCGTTATCAGCTGGGGAGCAGGAGGATAGACGGTCAGCTCTCAGGCAGTGAACACATCAATGTAAATCACGTATGTAGCAGCCAGGCGGCAGCACGTTGTCTTACCCACGACGTCCGTCTTGCATTTACAGCTGTCGTGTTCTGCTCCACAGATCTCCACCTCCACGAAGGGACAGACGATGCTGCGGCCATTTTTAGGCAGGTGACGGGCTCCGAGCACCTGATTCAAGACGAGAAACAAGTGTGACAAGCAGATAGAACAACAAACATCTCAATCTTAAGTTTTAAGAGACTGTTAATACAACTGTGGCCCAAGCTTTGATTTAGTATGATAAGGAGAAATATAGGTTCTGGTTGGTCTAAAGCAGGGGTGCCCAATACGTCAATCGCAAATTGTGCCACACGGGTTCATGCAGTTACAAGGGGGCCTCACCTCCTCATCTCACCTCCTCATCACCCCCCCCACCCCCCCCGCTCGCGACACAGATTGGGCAGGGGCGGCCCTGTAGGTAGATCATTTGGGCTTGGTAGCTCTTGGTAGCCCCTTAAAAGTAGCTCCCAAGCTGAACAAGTGTGGGCACCCCTGGTCTAAAGTCTTGTAATAAAGTATGTTGCTGCTATAACTTACCTAATTTTGGATCAATAAAGTTCCATTTTCAATATTAATCTGGTTCAGAATAACTTTTAGCAAATATCTTACAGCAATTCTTTCATTTAATTTTGTTGTGCATTTTATTCATGCAATGCTTGATTGTGCTTCCTGCTGTTTCTAAGATGGAGCCATTTTCTTATCATACTATATTTAGTCTCCGGGCAAACTGTTTTTTCCTCTAAAACATAAGGATAAAATAGCAAAAACTAAATAAAAATGTCAAGAGGGGGCTAAGGAAATATTTTTCTTTTATCCAGAAATGATGGATCTGACCTGTAACTGGATGGTGATTGGCTCCACATGTAGGGTGTCCTTGTCGAAAGGGTCGAAGGCGTCGTCGCTCATAACTTCGGGCTGAAGAACGAAGCCGCTGCTCCCTCCCAGCATGAACAGGGACTGGTTCAGCTGCATGGGTTTATCTACACACACATTTCAGATTTATCAAACACATTTACTTTGTTATCATACAACTGACATCCTTATTGTTAAGACCCTGCAACCTCAAATAAGTGTGTACATGAGGGTAGTAATTATGTGTTCAAGTTCACTTTGTCACCTAGTTAAGTCAAACCTCCAACAATTTTTACCGGGATATTGTTTTTCTTTCGCTTCAGATCATTTGAATAATCAACCTGAAGAGATAAACATATTCTTTAAACACATTTTGAAAATGATTATTTTTTCTGTAGCATTAAACCATTAGAGGGGCCCTATTATGCTCATTTTCAGGTTCATATTTATATTTAGTGCTTCTACTATGACATGTCTCCATGCTTTAATGTTCAAAAATGTATTTATTTATGTTTCTCATACTGCCTGTGCTGCAGCACCTCTTTTCACCCTCTGTCTGAAACCAGAGCCCAGTTTGCTCTGATTGGTCATGTCCCGCCCTCACAAGCAATGTGTTTAAGTGCTAGCCAGGGGGAGTGCGGAGGGAACTTTGGGGTTCGAGCCTTTGCAGACCATTTGCATGCACAAAAACCTATAGAACACACTACAGGAAACCCAAAACACACAACAGGACCTCTTTAAACCATCTCTTCACCCCTTAGATTTATCCCTGAAATGCGATCAAGCATGTTTTTTCATTTTATTCTATGTAGTAGACTGTTCTATTTCCCTGGTGGTCACTCAAATGCAAGCAAAATGTGATAATTAGGGTAAACATTCTAATAAGTAAATAAATACATTTGAATTCATCAAAAACTGTATTTGCATGTATTTGATCCAAAAACAAGCAGAACATGTATTTTGTCAGTGGCGTTTAACTTGTAATTAGCAACCAACATTGAATATGAGGAAAAAATGTTTTACAATAGCTTTTTATATAATGTTTTACTTACTTGTTGATTGCTTGTATGTGCCCTTCTCTTTTTTTCTGACACTGTGTAAACGTACATGTATATTTGCACACTGACCTGGGGTCTGGAAGTTGAGAGCCACCAGCTGGGAGCCGCAGAGCCACATGGGCAGCGGGTCGTAGTTGGACGAGTCCAGCCTCTGTCCTCGGGGGTAGACTCTGGAAAGCTGCCGGCGGTTGTACTGCAGGAAGCGCTTCCCTTTGCTGCGGGTCGCAAACTTCTCCGCCTTCGTCTCCGGGAAGGAGGACATGTCCCGGTAACACGCCCTCTCTGTCCCGATCTCTGAAACAGCAGCAAAAAAAAAAAGAGTTAACCACGGAAACTTTATAAGTGATGCAAGAGAAGAAGAGAGCAGTTTGCTCCTTACTGTCCTCGTTGAAGGGGACGGGTCTGCAGTAGACCACCAGCTCTGACAGCTCCACCGCGATCTTCTTCCTCCTCTCCATCTGCTTCTCCTCCTGCATCTGTTACCATGGAGATACCATTCAGTCAATATAAAAAGAGCCTTTAAAATATTGGATTACTTTAGAAAGAGCAGCAACATGGTCAAAGGTTTAATCCGAAACGATTCTTAAAAAGACTTTAATGCATTGACTTGACCAATCAGTGGCTTTCACCCTCTGTAACTGGGCAATACTGACAATACTTGTACTGTGTACTTTGAATTATTCAACTGTGCAACATTAATACAACTTAGGATCATCACTGTATTACACTGTGCATTTTGAGCCATAGTATGGTTCCTCATCAATATCTTTATTAATACTTATAAACACATGTATATATTGCAATATTCACGTTTAACATGTTAATTGTTGTATAGAAGTACAACTTGCAGGTTTTTTACTTAACTTATTATCTTAATATTTTGTTTTCATTCTATTTCATTTTATCTTTCTATTTTCATATTATTATAAAATGGGGCAACTGTCATGAAACCTAATTTTACTATTTTATTTTATATTTGTATTTTATTTTCTTACTTTTTATTTTATCTTGTTTTCTTATTGCTTATTATAAATTAACTTCTTATGTTTATATACTTTTTCTATTCTATTTTCTCAAGTTATTACATTTTTAATGGAGCAACTGTCACCAAAACAAATGTCCTCATGGGATAAATAAAGAATTGTGAATCTGATTGTTAAAAATGTACATTTCCCACAAGATGAAGTTGTCCGTCCCTGCGTACTGACCCGTGCGTCAGCGTTCTGCGTGGCCTCTCTGATCCGGGACACCCAGCCCGTCAGGTCCTCCAGAGAATCGGCCGCCACGTCCAGGGTCTGCACCGGAAGAGAGGACGGCTGCTGGGACTGGATGGTGATCACATGGGGGCGAGAGTTCTTCCCGTCCTTAAGCACCACTGGACAGAGCGACGGAGAGAGGAAGAGGTAAGGTAAGAGAGAGAGAGAGAGTTCCGTTCAGAAAAAGTTGTTTTTGAGATTTTTTAGATATTCGTTTCCAAAGAGGGCTAACAGGTTACAACAATCAAATCAAAGTTTATTTATATAGCAAGTTATCACAAAACACGCATGTCTCAATGGGCTTTAGAGATAAACAAACATTGATGGCAGTGTTAACAGATAAATCAAATAATAAAAACAAGATAAAACGTGAAACACAAATCAAATAGATACAAATAAAACAAGATCAATTGCAACAAAAAGACAGTCAAAATACAATACAACAATAGAATACATACCATACAATGTACTGTAGGACTCAGGGGGAAAAACACAGCATAATCTTAAACCAGCTCCAAGTATAGGCTTTATTTAAAAGGAAGGTCTTCAACACACTCTTCTGGACACTGTCTGCCTCCATAATAAAAACAGGAAGTTGGTTCCAGAAAAAGGGAGCTTAGTAGCTGAACGCTCTGACTCCTGATCTGGTTCTTCGGTCTCTGGGAACCACCAATGGGGCTTTCACACCAACGCGGTTAAGGACCTGTTCAGAGCTAGAGCCTGAAAAGCACAGTTTTTTCCTGTTCACACCGCAGCGGAGCAGCCTCTAGCTCTGGAATCCGGTTTGTTTCAAGCACCAACAAATTGTCGGTCTAGAAGCAAGAACCGCATACGTCACGCTTACGTCGGAGGGGGGCGAGATGAACCTGAGCTAACAGTTAAAGGCGAGTAGGCCTACGGCAAATACAAGTTGTAACAAGCAGTAGTGCTGAGCAAAGTGACTAGAACGCAACCACACACTACAATACATTTTATCAAGTCAGGTAGCTTAATGCCCTAGAGGAGCAATAGAGGATTACAATTGTGCAATAGGTATGATGGTGCCTTTCTATTTAGTGCTTTATAAGCCAGAAGAAGAGTCAAAAGTCTCCACAGGGTGAAATGTATCAGGAAGTGTATTATTTATGTGTTCAAGATTTGGTTGGTTAGTTGGATCATTTACAGAAATTGCAGTAGAAGTGTGAAGGCATATCCAGTTCAACCATTTTGAAGGAAATACTGTGCAATTTACACAAAATTGCAGAAATCTTACATTTTGCTAGATTGTCAGACAGATTGAAGACGTCTGTAGATAATTCCTGCTCTTTTACAGGATTGTGAGGTTTTTGTAGGATGTCTGTGTAAAATGTAATCGGACAGCTTTATACTTACCTTCCATCTAAATTATTTTCATTTCTTAGATTAATTATATTGTGGGCTGTATTTATTTTTCTTCAAAAAATATAAATGAGCATTTTAACCAAAGCAAGTGTTTGGACAGTATAAGTCTATAAATAAAAAGTAAGCATGTGTTTACGGGACTCACCGACATGGCAGGTGGGAACATCAATGAAGCCCTTAAGAAACGTCCCGAGAGGACTGTTCTCTGTGGACTGAGACAACAACAAAAGAATTAGGATTGGAAACACAAGCTGATCCTTTTGTTCAGCTAACCCCTCACTCACCACTTGGTCCGGCTCTCTGGAGGGGGAGCTGGGGACCTCCTCCACGTAGTTTGCAGGAAACCACAGCTGTTTCTTCCCTCCGTAGTCGCCTCGCCACCTAAACACAGCACACAGGTTCATGAGGAGCTGCAATAGGTGGAAGTAACACACAAACAGGAGGTCACATGGTACACTGAGATGCACTCACCAGCCGCCATCCTGCTTCTCCACACTGACGATGAGCGCCTGTTTGGGGAAGCAGAGCTCGTCCTCCCTCTGAGCTCGATAGTCGTACAGAGCTTTGACCGTGCACTGAAACAGGAGAGGAACCATCAGTCTGTCTGACACTGTGAACTTTTACATATGACCACTAGGAGGTGCAAAAGTCAGAACATGTTTAAATCTTATACATCCTGTTTCTATTTCCTTACTCAAGAACATCCCTTTCTTCCTTCAACGTCTTTCTCATCCATAAGCTAAAAAGAGTTTCACCAAACAGTAAAACTAAACTCTGCTCTTCCATGGAATACAATTTGATATCATAAGTAAGTAATAGAAAGAGGTTAATTTGGCTATGGAATAAGTACATTCTGAAATAAATACTCCATATTAGCTTCAAAAGGGAATAACTCTGCTAATCATGTGTTGAATGATATGATAATGATTAGATGATTAACAGTGAATAAAACTGGAGGTCCACAGTTCAGTCTCACTTACCCGAGCAGTGGGCATCTTATTGGCCTCCACGTAGAAATGAGGGGTGCGGACCTCATACAGCGCCCCGTAGTCGAGCTCCTGACACATTCATGACAAATAATAGCGGTTAGTGTTGAGGTTTAAACGCTATTAAACTCATTCTGCATTGAAAGCTGCAATACAGATGTATGAAGGTACAATAACAGCAAATATCAGTTGTGATAATTATGTTGTGCATGTTATTGCTACATACAATTTAAAAAAAATATTTTTCATTCTTTTCTTTCTGCTTTTGAATCAGCCAGGTTACTTGAATTAGTATCTCAGTGAAAACCATGCATGACTTTAATGGCAGACACTTTTATTGCATAAAAAAACGCTATTTAAGGTGCAAATTGAGGAAAAATCCACAAAATGAAGTATGCCAATTGATTATTTAGGTGTTTATCATTACATTACATGTCACTTGTTAGACGCTTTTATCCAAAGTGACTTACATACTCAATACTGTGGGCAATCCCCACAGGAGCAATTTGGGGTGATGTGTCTAGCCCAGGGACACAACGACATGCTGACTGCAGTGGGGTTTGAACCTGTGACCTCCTAATCCGAATACCAACGCACAACCCACTGCACCACACACTATCATCAAGGATGCCAGACTGGTTGATTGATAAAAAACAATGTACGGTTGAAACTTCTGATGGACATTATGTTTTTATTTGATCATAAAACACTTTTTGAATGTTCATATTTATATTAGAGGAGAGCACCAAACGTTGGATACATGATGGCTAAGCTGTTTTCAGTAGAAAAAAGCAACACTGTGCAAGAGATGGAAAGAGGTTAACAGACAGAGCGCTGGACGTCAACAGTTGGTTGTCAAGTTGGTGACTTTAAGTAGAAAACAGGGGGTAGTACAGCAGTGATGTAAACATTTAATATGTGATTCCTGATCTGTGTGTGTCTCACCGCGGTGCCCATGCGGTCCAGAGTGTCCTCGTTGATGGGGTAGCGGAGCCTCATCTTGCGGTACAGAGGATGCTTCTCGTAGTAGCTCACCAGGTCCACGAGACTCTCGAACTCTGCAGAGCTGCCCAACATGAAGAGGCGTCCTTCCTGCTGAATACGGCAGTGCTTGATCTTCCCCTCCGCCCTGCAGGCAGATGGACAGAGAAGGACATTTAAACACAGAACGTTAAACTCTCAAAAATAGACTTCATTGATTGTCTTTGGGTTTTTTCGACCTGAAGGAGATGGCATAGGAGCTGTTTTCGCTGCGTTTCCGCACTAAGAAAGCTCCGTCTCTGGGGACACGCATCAGCATGTGTTCAGCCTGAACACGCGACAGACTGGAGTGGAACCACCTGGAAGACAGAAATCTGTTTTATTCAGTCTTCCTCTCTGCTTTCAAATACATCAGTAGTGAAGGGACATTGATGACTCACTCTCTGCTCTCGTGCGCGTTGGGCTGAGGGACGGGGCTGAGCAGCCGCATCTCAAACTCGTTGCAGCGCAGAGGCGTGTCTCTGTAGTGGCAGATGAGGCGGTACAGGCTGTCGAACACCAGGTTGTCGGTAAGGTAGAATCGAGTGGAGCCCGACTCCTGACGGGAGTGGATCCTGCAGTGCTGGACCCGACCAGAGCGCCTGGAGGAGGAGGGACCGTTTGCATATTCAACGCTACTCATCTGTTATAAAACTCTGGCAGGCTGAAGACAAAGACTGATTAAACATTCAATACTTAAATAAATTGCTCAAATTTGAACCAGATTGCACAGAACTAAAACATAAAGGCAGCTTTAAAAATACAATATCTCATACTTTCTCATTGATTCGTAAGCTTTATATCATATTTGTTGTCTGGCATTTCCTGTTTGCCATTTCCTGTTTTATTTTGGTACTAATCTCCCCTCTCATTTTAGGTAGTTTGACTCCTCCCCATGTGTGTTCTTCACTGACCTGATTACCTGCCCCGCCCTTATTGTTTGCACCTGTAGAGCCCCTGTATGTGTATGTAATCTGTGTTTTCTCTGTGCCAAGTGCCAGATCGTTTCGTGCCATAGAGTCGAGCCTTCCAGCGTTTATTGAGCCTTACAAATATTATTAGAGATTAGACAGCCAGTTGATTTCAGTCCTCAGTGCTAGAGAGTTAGTTAGTATTATTAGTAAGTATTTAGTAAGTAATTTTTGGAGTCCATGTATACTAAGTGTGTTTGTATTGCCCAGCAAATCAAATCAAGTAAGTAAATACAAGGCAGAACGTATAAAAGTTAGCGCTGAGCTTCAGTCTGCAATGTTCCAAACAACAGATAAAGCCAGAAATCTAGATGTAGTCATGGACTCTGACCTGAGTTTCAACAGTCACATTAAAACTGTTACTAAATCAGCCTACTATCACCTAAAGAATATATCTAGGATTAAAAGACTAATGTCACAGCAGGATTTGGAAAAACTTGTCCATGCTTTTATCTTCAGTAGACTCGACTACTGCAATGGTGTCTTCACAGGTCTCACTAAAAAATCTATTAGGAAGCTGCAGCTGATTCAGAACGCCGCTGCTCGAGTCCTCACTAACACTAAGAAAGTGGATCACATCACTCCTGTTCTGAAGTCTTTACACTGGCTTCCTGTGTGTCAAATCATAGATTTCAAAATACTGCTGCTGGTTTATAAAGCACTGAATGGTTTAGGCCCAAAATACATTTCTGACCTCCTGCTAAATTATGAACCATCCAGATCTCTCAGGTCTTCAGGGACTGGTCAGCTTTCTGTCCCCAGAGTCAGAACTAAACATGGTAAAGCAGCGTTCAGTTATTATGCTCCAAATATCTGGAACAAACTCCCAGAAACCTGCAGGTCCGCTGCAACTCTGAATACTTTTAAACCCAGGCTAAAGACTTTTCTTTTTGTCGCTGCTTTTAATTGAACTATTCATATCTTAAACTGCACTGTAACTTTTATCCATGTATTTTTTCTATTAATGTTTATTTTATTAGCTTTGCTTTTTAATGACTGATTTTAAATGCCATTTTCTTAATGTCTTTCATTTTTGTAATTCCTTTGAATTGCCTTGTGTTGAAAGGTGCTATATAAATAAACTTGCCTTGCCTTACTCAACTCCCCCAATCACTTTCTTATAAATGTGTTTCTATAATCCTGCTATCTCTTCTTTTATTCCTATTTCTCTTTCTTTCTTTCTCCAAAACAAAAAGAAGCTGAGATCAATTTGAGTGTGTAGTGTGTGATTTCAGTGTAACTGACCAGAAGGAGAGGGTGTAGTCTCCCACAAACGTCTCACTCTCCCGCACCAGGAAGGTTCCGTCCTTGGCCCCCCCCCTCGCAGTACTCCTGCAGGAGCTTCTCGGCCACCTGTCGCCCATCACGACCTCCGCCCAGCTTCCCGTGGAACCAGCGCTCGGCACAGTGCTGCTCGTTGTTGTTACACTCCTGACCGAGGGAGGGAGCATCAGCTTTACCTGATAAACACTTTATTATAACTTGTTTATTTTTCATAATCATCTCCCTACCTCTTTCGCTTCGTCGTCCTCCTCTTCATCAGTCGTCTGGTAGTGAGACGTCTCCTCTGAATAGTAAATCTTATTACTGGTCAGGACAAAATAGTGCGGGGTCCACGTCTGTGAATCACACAAACACATTTCAGTAACACTCCACGACACACTGACTGTGTGTGTGAGGCAGACGGACACACTCACGTGGTCGATGGGGTCTTCCAGGTAGAGGATGCCGTTCTTCAGAGAGTTGCTGATGTCGTTTTCTGAGTAGCTGGCTGAAGTCACCTCTTCGTACAGCGTGCCTTCCACCAGCTTCTTGTGCTGTGATAAAGGGGGGGAACTTAACCACACTGAGGAATGTGGGAGCATTTTCTGCATGCATGTTGGGATTTTCTACAACATGTTATAATTAATGGAGGTCGAAGATTTTGCTCAAGGCCAATGGATTTTCATTTGAATCTTACAAAGAATCTGCAATTTAAATGCAAATGAATGCCTGTTTCCACCCACTCCTTTAATGCAATCTATTAGGAGTTGTTAATCGAGATAAGCAGCAGGTGGTACCATTACTCTAATTGGAAAACCATTGCAGAAGAAGAGTGCACAACACAATAAGGTCATTACAAGGGCAACTCAAACGGTGACAAAGTAGAAAGATCTATTGAAGTTTGACATTCCCGTTTGTTTTTATGTAATGTAAAAGAAAGAAAAAGTTATATCAGATATTTGACGAGCCACGAGAAAACAGTTTTAATCTGCTGCTATTTTTTCAATTGTTGATCATTTATCAGTAAAAACTATTGCTCTTTCCTCCAATTTTCTATGGATACATTACATTTGCAGACCCTTTACATGCATACAAACCTACATAATACACTACAGGAAAAGGAACCCCCAAAAAGCCGAATAGGGCCTCTTTAAGCTTGAGCCTCCCCCTCTTCTACAAAATAACTTTCTCTAACCCAGTGTCCACCCTCAGCGATGGTGCAAGAAGCCTAAAACCCTTAACCAGAGGGGTAGGTGTGTCTGTATGCGTACCTTGATGAGGATCTTCCTGCGGAGCTGGTGGGGGGAGGGGAGCTCCTCTGCACCGTTATCTACAGGCTTGGTGAGCAGCAGATCTCCGAACACCTTCTTGAAGTGTGTGGCCATGTTCCTCTGCTGCACCACGCTGCAGTGGTCCTCGATGGACAAGATCACAGGATACCTGCACACACACACACACACACACACACACGCACACACGCACGCACGCATGCGCACACACACACACACACACACACACACACACACACACACACACACACACACACACACACCAGGGAGCTGAATCTCTGGAAACAAAACAACTGGCAGGTTTCTTGCAAACGAGTGCAACACTAGTGGAGATGTTAGGGACTAGGTTTAAATAAAGTTTAAGGGATATTGTTAAATGGTAAATAAATAGGTGACTAAATGACCTTGGTTTCTGCCCCTGTTGCAAATATCACTTTACATTGCGTTGCTTTTGTGCTGTTACTCCTCTATGTTTCCCTATCTACTCCTGATATATAACATCATATAATGTTTTTTAAGATAAGTACCTCACACTACCCCACTTCAACAACCCAAACTATCCCTTTAAGAAAGCACTGGTATTCTCACCCAGGCAGATGTGATCTAAATAACATTTATTAATACTTTGAAAACCATCTCCAAACGTACTCAGATGTGACGAAGGCGTGCTCTTTGATGGTGTGCAGCACATCCAGGAACTTGATCTTGGAGGTTAACGTGTGGCCGTGGTAGATGATTGGCAGGTCGTCAGGTCCGTCCCAGCAGTCCACTGTGAGCACAAAACACACATTCATTTAAAAACCTTTTGTTCTCTAAACAGATATTAACCAAAATTCCCCCCGAGGATCAAGAACATATTTCTGTTTCTGATTCATTTTTTATTAATTTTGATATCAAATGTTGGGGACTCTCACGTTCAATGCAGCGGCAGCCCATCCTGAGGCAGCGGGCGTACGCTTCCAGAGACGATTCACTGGAAAACTGATCACCTGTCAGGTAGCTGAGAGAGCAGGAACAAAGAAACAAGTTCAGAACTGTACCTTAATGTGCATTCAATGGGGTGCGACTAATCATAGTTTCCACCATTGATTAATACATATTGTCAGTTATTTCATCTTTATTATTCAGCAGAATAATTGTTTTAAAGCCATTAACAAATCCACACATTTGATAGACAGAACCACAAAATAACCATCATTTCTAAAAAAAAAAAGGATTTAGATACATGCAACAAATGTAAGCTGGGATTTTAAGTTAAACTGCTTATCAAAGCATGTGATATTTGTATCTCAAACACACATACACAACTTTGAGTCAGGTAGGCTTGGGCAGGGGCGGCGGGTACTGTAGGCTAGGGAAGACTAAGCCTTCCCAAATATTTTTGTCACATCCTGGTCAAATAAAAATATAATGTATGTGTGTGTCTTTGACATTAGCGCTGCTATGCAGCCACCTGTGCCCTGTACTACGAAGCCAGTTCAACAGACCCTGGGTACGTTTGAGTTATCTTAACTAACCCTAACAAACGAGATCTCGCTAAGCGGTCCTACGGCGCTGGTTATCAACTCGGTAAATCAAGCCAGGGTTTCTCTCTCCAGCTGAGAGCGTGTTCACGTGAAAGGGGCGGGGTTAGCAACATTTGACCAATCACAAACAGGGACAAGTGTAGCCTAGCGCAGCGTCATACTTCATTAATGAAAAGTAAACTAATATTAGACAAATATGAACTTTAAAACCTCCTGGGACCCGAGGAAAAAAAGTGTCTTCCAATTTCCTTTTTTTTGTGATTTCCTACATATTTAGGGTTAAAAAAACATCTTGCAATTTAGACTTTTTTTATTTTATTTTATTTTAAAATGTTACAGTATGTCCACTGTAGAGGATGTCGGGACCATATTAGTTTGAAAAGACAGCCAAAATTAACAGATGGACTATGTAACGTATTATGGTTATAGAGTGATATTAATACAATAATACATTCACCTTTATTTAAAACATGAATAAGTAATTGATCTGAACATTGCTGTTTATTTGGTCAATACAAAACTAGCTTGTTTTTTGGTGAATCTTTCCAGATCTTCAAAGTCTTTGTAGTCAATGTACTGGGAAAGTACCTCATTGACTCCAGTCAGCACGGGCTGTAGGGTCATCTTGACTAGTTTTATGGATGTGGTCTCCATTTGACCATGCTCATAGAAACAAAGCTTACAACAATAAGACATACGTGCTACTCTTGGCCCACAGGGGGCCATGTCTTTCCAGCTCGTCCCTATCTGTCTCTATGTATCTATCTGTGCGCTCATGGAGCCTCCTGCATCTTTCCCCCCCTTCTTCTTGACCCTCTTCTATCCCAGGTGTGAAATTCTCATCTCTCTCATCATCTGAGAGCTCAAAATCTTAATCTCCCTGAACTATCTGGTACAGAAAATGTCTGCTTCAGTTCCGTCTCCTGCAACAATATTGAGTCATAAAGTCCATGAAGAAGAACATTTATAAAAGGGCTGTTATTTGAAAACTTGAATTATGTAATTGCTTTCAGAACTAATTATATATTTCCTCACATGTTAATAAACAAGAACATATATGATTTTCATGGTAAAAATTACAATTATTCAACAATATTTGACTTCTCCTCCTGCTTCTATACAATTTTGTTTTTCGTATGCCAGCCATTTTGGATGAAAAGAAAGAGGAACTTCCCAGCATGCAATTTTAACCAATGACATATCACTGGAAAGACCAGGATGTCCTCTGTACAGTACATCAGGGACTGATAGAGTAGCTCAAAAGAGTAAAAGGAGATGCATGTTAACAAAATGTCCACTACAGTGGACATTTTCAATGGGCTGGGTCCCAGGAGGTTAAACATCCATGACTTAAACATATAATCTAGGATACAAGCCACATAGTTGCACCTGCAAGGTGCATACAGCTGGTGAAAGAAAAAGTGTCTGAAGAGTGATATCATTAACAATTATGATATCACTGCCCCGTCAAAATCACGAGTGGATCTGACTTTAATTACATTTGACTTAGTATTTCGTCAAACTTAATGTGTTGCTTAAAATAATATACTTCTGCATACAGTATGTGACAATGTAAGTGTTGCACGGCTTCAACTTCTTGAGCCGTATCTGGATACGGCTCGAGAAGCTGACTCAGATAAGGAAATATATGATATATTATGATATTATATGATCGATGATCTGATTGATGATGTGATATGAATGATACTGTAAGTGTGACACGTCGGCGTCTTCTCTTCATACGGCAGTTTAAACTGTATTTCCTTTATACTTAATAGATTTAAACTCCGCACACTGAGCTCTGATCAGGCGGTGCCCGTGCTTTCACTGAGTTGATCTCTTTTCTATAGACGCCGGAGGCAGGCAGCGTCAGGTAAAACAAGTTATTTAGCCTTCCCAAACCTGAGCCTCACGCGCCGCCTATGGGCTTGGGGCTGTTTGCAAGACCAGCAAAAAGATAACCAATGTGATGGCTAAGGCATACAGAGAAGAAAGAAAGAGAGAGAAAAGTATCTCTTCTTTTCAGATGACTTAATATGACAAGGTGGTGTCATTAAATCACCATTATTTTCCAAAAGCTCCTTTTAATACAACAAAATGCTTTTCTTGCGACACAAATGTTGGGACGTACGTGTTGTGAGAGGAGGAGATCCAGTACTGAGACAGCGGCCTTTTCATGTCATCAGCAACGACAGGAGACAGTTGAGGGTCACACACAGAATTCTCTTTAGAGAACAGGAACGTCAGGAACTAAAAACATGAAGCACCAGGCTGTGAAGCAGGAATAACTCTGCACAGATTTTTCAGGTTTCTCTTTCTTTGTCTCACCTCATCGAGCTGTAGCATGGGCTCCGGCTGCGGCCCCCCCCTCATGTACCCCGTGAGGAACTCTCGGACACGACTCAGATCTGAAGCCCAGGACTCCTGAGAGGAGACGGATACAGAAGTGAGCCCAGAGCAGATTTGAACAGAAAATGTTACTGTGATTTGTGCTGAATCTGCTCAGTACCTTCTGATCCATCTGTAAGAACTTCTGGAAGTCGTAGAGGGACATCTGACAAAGCTCCGGTCTGTCCACATTCCTACAAACACACCAGTTTTTTAAATTTCAGATATCAAATAAGTAAAAGTTCAACAAAAGTTCAACTAAATGAGAAACGGGGCTTGATGCATTATATACAAATGGCTTACTGGAACTACTCCTATAACTCTACCTATGCCAGTTCTAATTATGCAATTTCCATAGTTGATGTTTCACAGCCATAGAGCCAACACAAAACATTAAAGTACCATTTAAATGGCAAAAACACATGGGAATGTTTTATTTCCTGAAGAAAAAAAAAAGAACCACACCAACGGCTCAAGCTCATACAGCTAAAATGCATCTTCGTCCATAATATCCTATTAACTCTTTATTTGGGACGCCATTTTCGCTGTTAGAAACTTAGCTAGTTTGCAATAACAGCAAAGAGAACAAGGATGTTCTGTGTTTGAACAACATATAGAGAACACCTCCTGGTTACCCAGAGAAATCCAAGCTAAAGAGGCCTGAACTTTTCCCTTAGCACTAACTATGTCTCTGTAATATCAAATTCGGTCAATGAAGCACTGAAGACATCCGCTAAAGATGTAGCTTATTCCGTCTTTAACAAATGTATATATTGTGTGTATGCCGGACTGATAGAAGGGGTGGGGGGAGGTGAAGACGAGGGAGTGGACACTGAGGAAGAGGGACGTGGTGGAGGGACTCACCGCAGTGGGAAGGAGAGCTCCAGCTGCTCAATAATCTGGGGAGAAAAGGGGAGGGACCAGTTGACAGACAGGTGTGAGGGAGCCAGGTGAAGCAATACCAGTCAGTGAGCGTGGTGTGGGTTGAGAGGAGAAGTACTCAAATACAGAACTGAAGCGCTGTACACAAACTTTATATGTTGTTTACACATTTCAGAGGGATAGGACTTCTATCTGACGGCTGATGTTACTGGCTGGCTGTAGCAGATTCAGAATGCATAATAAACATGAGATCAGATCATTAAATCATGTAGGCATGCTAAAACCCTGCATCTCAAATAAAGGGATTATATTTCATCAATATGTCAACATCAATTGTGTATGTATTTATATGAACAGGGGTACGTAAGTGTGTATAAATGTATATTTGGGAAATCATCCCTCCCTAAGAATTGTATGATTCATTACTTTGTAATCAGCTTTACTTTTTATTATTTTTCATCCATATTATAATTTTGTTTGTCTTTCAGTTTTCTTTGTGTTTGTTCTTGTTACTTGGTTGTGATTTATGTGCAAATGTGAGTTTATATTCTGAGCAAAGTGCATCTGTTCATGTAATAAGCCGGTAAAATAAGGTTTTGCATTTTTTACAATTGTTTTATTACAAATCACTTGTACTTCGAATGACAGCTATCCATTTTAAATATTGCTTGAGTTGCATAAATCCAGCAGTGAACATCATGTCTTCAGTTACATTGTTTCAGCTTGATAACGCAGCTTCTTTGCAGATTTAATTGTACTGTCCTTTCTGCTCTGTTTCACTCTCAAACTTTTTTCTTGAGTCCTCTATTTGTTTTGCATGCCTTGCAAATGCCCTGCATTATGGAATGTAAATGGAAAGCATTGGGTGCCTGGAAAAGCACATAGAAAATGTACATATATCAATGAAGCATTTGCTAATCTTTAGCACAAACGTAAGTGTGTACATGTTTATATCATTGCAATACTTGTATTTCAAGTAAAGGATTTAAGTACTTCTTCCACAACAGTGTAAGTGTGTATCTGTGCAAACTCAAAAGGGACACTCACGCTCTTCTGTGCGTCGAACATGAGCGTCCTGTAGAGCTGGGAGAAGTTAGGGTAGGACAATTCGCTCCTGGCCTCCACTTCCTGTGGAAAGAGGGAGGACGAGAGTTTGTGTGACAACTTATCATCTAGGAGAGGATATTCAAAGAGGCAGGGGGTCTGAAGCAGGTCTGACCTGCAGTTTGTCTTTGAGAAAGCGCGTGTTAGGGACTCTGTAGTTGATCTGAGGAAGCAGCGCTTTCACATCCTTCACTGTGATGCTGAAACACAAACAAGACAAGGAATATACATTATAAACATTAAAGAGATTCCAGGACTGTCTATCCAAACCAAAGACCAGATCATCCTAAAAACAAACTATACGGTCATTACACCTTTTGGAGAAGCATTCATAAAACTCCCAGTGATGCTATATGTGTTGTCACCAGGAGGTGGCGCTGTATGGTTTGAAGAACTGCTGTCAATGTCAGGGGCAGGTTGCACAAAAAACAAATTCAATCTGATAAGGTTCCTTTGAAGTCAAATAAATCCAAAACACTATTAAGTCTTCCCCTTAAGGTTTCCTCAAACCCTTTACTTAAGGTGCTCTTCTTATCTTGGTCTTACACTTAAGGTTAGTTCAACCATTGGAGAAAACATCTTAGGAAAACAACTTAAGGTATCTCTGACATTCCTGTAATTAGTGATTTCAGAACAGACACGTTTAAGTATTGTTTTGAACCTCTTGGACAGACCTTTTCACCGACTTCTTGAATGAATAGGGTTATACGTTATACCAAATACGTTGTTTTTTGTTAGCTGTTATTTCCAAATGTACCTTTTAGCATTTGCCTTAATTTTTTGTATCTTCCAGGAGTATTAATTTTTCGTCTTCTGGCCTATTTAATTTTTCTGCCTTTCCTCTTTTATTTGTTTTATCTATCGGCCATGATTGTGAGGGGATAACAGGTACAGTATTACAAAGAGTCTCCACGTAAAATGTAGAATTTTACCGTTTCAAAATATCTTTCAACGCCGTAAACGCCCTAACGCTTTTCCTAATTAAGAAAAACCTTCTAATGGATACTGTGCAACATCTTTAAGTAACTTTCTTAGCTAAGCGGAAAGTTTTAACTTCCGTACTTATATGTATCACACATGTTAAAACATGTTCAGTTTGCTGTGCGTCACAGTTGTTGACAAAATACTCTAATCTCTCCACAAGACGCATTAAGAAGCTGTTCTGGAGCACCAGCTGTCTTTTCTTCCTGACGTTTACACTTTCATGAAAACTGGGGTAAACTCCATCTGCAGATATAATGAGTATATTGAGAACAGCCAATAAATGGACATTGTTTTGGTTAATAATAAAATAAAAGTAATAGAAGGGTTTATATGCCTAAAAGTTGTTGCAGTTTCAAATGCAGAGGATCTGTCTTTGCCTCCACATCCTTTTTTGTCTAGGAGAAACACCACATGGACCACCACTTTCACTGATTACAAAAACACATGTAAGTGTCAGTAACAGAATGAGGCAGGAAGCAAGGGAGGCAGGTAGAAAGAGAAGAAGAATCCAGGTCAGTGCGCTGAGGGGATCTTTTGGGGTCAATGACCGGCCTCACTGCCAGGTCTGATCCGCCCGCTTCCCTGTCTGGCTACTGTTACTATTTTCACAGGAGACAGGAAGTTGCCCTCTCCCAGCCCATCACATCACTTCCTGCTCCTTATCAGCCGGTGGCAGGCAGTGTGTCCTGGAGCCGCTTCCACCCAACCAGAAGCCTGGGCTTATTAATGTGAGCACGAGAGAGACAGAGGAAGTGTGTGTGATACAGTATCTGCATTTCAGGGTGTGGAGCTCCAGGTCAGATCAGACCCCCGACAGTGCTCTTTGATGGCATCTGGATCTGGTTTCACCTTCACGTCCCACCCAATGTAACAGACCGGCCAATAAGTATCTTTCACAGGCTGCTGTTTAAAATCTGATTGGGTGTTGCCATGTTTATGGAGAGTCACCCACCTGCCCTCGTGGCTCCTGTCCATGGCTTCAAACTGCTTCCTCAGCCACCTACAGAGGGAGGGAAGGAGAGAAAACATGATACTGACTGAGCCATTATTACAAAATATGTGCGGAAATTAAATATTGAAGCACGGTATGCCAGTGATTGCTTATAACTGTAATGATGCACAGCATTGCTCAAATAAAATACATTTTTCCTAAGAAATCAGACATTTTCTCAGGGTTTGTTTTGACTTATTCGGCAAATGTGTTAACACCAAAAATAATAGCTTTTAGTATCTATTTTTTTTACACTTCTAGCACCAAAACAATAAATGTTCTGTAGTATGTGTGAATAATTGGATCCAACTGACAAAGTTGTTCCTCGTTGGTAACCAAAAAAACACTGTAATATTACTCCAACATTTTAAAGGGGCCATATTATGCTAATTTCAGGGTAACATTTGTATTTTGTGCCTCTACTATGACATGTTTACAGTATAATGTTCAGAAACCTCTTTATTTGTATGATACTTCCTGTTCTGCAGCACCTCTTTTCACCCTCTGTCTGAAACCAGAGCCCAGTCTGCTCTAATTGGTTAGCCGGCTGGCTCTGTTGTGATTTGTCAACCGCTTCGAGATGTCCCACCCTTAGCCTATCATGTACAATGTCTGAAAAGCCCCAAAAGCATAATAGGACCCCTTTAAGTATGGCAATGTTGCGCTTTTTGATACCAGTTGATGTGTTATGCTGCACTTATGTAAAAAGAGTGATGCTAATGCTAGTAGCGGCAACAAATTCAGCATCATCACCAGCTTGTAAAGACATGTACATTTGATTTAAATATATTTCTAAATAGTTTTTTCTCACATTCTATGTTTAAACACTAAGTATTAAGTCTTATGGGAAGAGAATAAATAACCATGGTTGACTAACCAATAATGTACAAATATAGCATATACTAGTTTAGATTTCCTTACACAAAGAGTGAGGAGAATTCACTTCAAGCAACATTTTCAAACTGTATTTAAAAGATGATGAATCCACAGTTTACACAACTGTCATGAAAAGACAAAATTAGCCATTTAACTTCCTGTGACCATCTTCAAACATTACGGCTCACATTATGTGGACAGCCTCCCTCTGTCCTCCCGCTCACCACAGCAGCCAAACCCACCTCTGCACATTCATCTGGAGTAAATATTTTCAGGCCAAAACAAATATTTGTTCGCCTCCGACCCGCACCTCCCTTTCCCGTCCAGGTCGCTACTTCTTTTGATACAACCAGATATCACACATATAGGGGGGGGAGAACGTGTCGTAAACTCACAATTAAGTAGTCCAGAGATGCATATTTATGACTTGGCCCATAAACTAATCACAAATAAGGTTTACTCCACTGAAAATGTCTTTATTTTTTCTATTTAAACACTCACTCCCCTAAATTATAGTCTTGATTATTTGATTAACTGTTGTGTTTGTTTAATGTGGATTTACTAGGTAAATACATGAGTTAGTTGTTTTGGTACTGGAAGAAAGTTGCAAAGTATTCAGGATTGCTTTTAATGAGTATTTTATTCCCAACAGAAAGGAGATTAACTGGAGTGTTTCTCAGGTGTAGAAGACCCTGAACAGTTTCCCACAGGGACACACACCTGTCTGTCTGCTGCGGAGCGGGCGCTCTCTGAGTGTCCATCATCAGCCAGTTGAGGCCGGTGATCCACATGTTGACCTCCTCCTCACTGAAGGCTGCAGAGACAGGAAAAAGAGGGATATAAAAGTGTCAAAATGTCAATCTTTTACTCTTCAAAGGTCAAGAGTCAAGTTTGGGGAGCTTACAGCTTAAAATCGATGTTGATTATTTAAAGGGTGAAATCTGAAACTTTATTTGTGCCGTTTTGTCTATTTCTTTAAAATGTTCTTCTTGTTTGGGAATTGGAACTGCCACCCTGTTAAAAGTCTATTCATCCAATCATATATAGTTTAGCTTGTCAGCTATTTTTATGTTTTATTTCTAAGAACATAAGAGACGTTTTTTAGACTCTTCACATTTGATTTTGAATGAAACATAGACTATGAGATTAAACTGCTTACTTAAAGTAATCTGTGTGTGTGGAGCATGAATCACTTATATTTCACCGTACAACCATGTGCTGTAAATGACTCATACATGTAACCTTGTAACTTGAAAGATGGTACAATCACATACAAACTCTTTTGTTTGAGCGAGTGATTACATTAAGCAGATAAGATGTACAAATGAAATATGGGTGGCAGTCTGTGACCTTCAACAGAAAGGACTGTGACCAACACATTGGGAATCAACATAACACACACACACACACACACACACACACACACACACACACACACACACACACACACACACACACACACACACACACACACACACACACACACACACACACAGTCACACACACTGACCGGCCACACTGAGCGTCCTGAGGCGAAACTCCTGTCCGTAGAGCACGATGAAGCAGTGGGCGGCATCCAGTTTTCGGGCCTCCTCCGGGTAGCGCTCGAAATCACGGGAGCCCTTCCCCAGCCGCAGCTCCCGGATCTCTCGTATGTCGACTGGAGGAGGGAGGAAGGAAGGAAGGATAGTGTTGCATGAACACAAATATGCACACCCATAAATCACAGTTTAGCACGTTGTTCGTTTCCCTGCCAGACACACAGAAATCTGCTGCCGGAGGACTCAACAAATGTACTTTGTGTGAGTCCGGAGAGCCAAAAAACACACAAACATGTCAGCTGTCGGTGGCAGGATGCTCCCAAAGTCTGCGGAGGCTTTTAGCAGCAGCAGATGACCAAAACGTTACTTTTCCTTCACTTGTTTTTGGGGGAAATGAATCCCTAAACTCTATAGTCCCTATAAAACCTAGATAAAGTCGCCATTAGTAGGAACATAAACAACTGGATTTGACTTCTAAAGATGGAAGTGAAGCCCTTAAAATGTCACTTAAGCTCCTCAGTCTGCTCTGAGATGAATAATTAAGGGTTTTAGTGACAGTTTTGTAATATATTTTACAGAATCCTTAAATATCCTTCTGTGCATCTAAGTAAATAAAGATTTTGGACACATAATCATCATTATTTCACGGCGTCACTGACAGCTGTAGATTCGTTAAAGGGTCTTTTTCGCATCAATAAAGTTTAGCGCATTGCACTGTGGGATTGTTAGCGGCAAGACACCCAAATAAAACGGCAGATAGTAAATTCAGTGCATTATACAGTACATGGGGAGTGATTTTGGATACAAGTTAAGTTCAAAGATGGCGGAAGTGTTTATTTTCAGAAAGACAGTTTGTGATTTAGATATCTAGAGGACAGAGAAGTTTTTCACACCTTTCTGTAAAGTAAAGTTTGTCGTATGACCGGGTTTGGAATTTGGTTGGCATCTAAACATGGTCCTTATCACATGCTCAAGCCTCCAGTTTATTTTTTATAAAAGGTATTTTATATCTGACTGAGGCTGTGAACCCATGCCTGCTAATTCTGCACTCATATCTTAAATAAATTAAATATATCTGTAAATATACAATATAGATAAGTGTGACAGGATACTACATGCGGACCAATGTTTTTCACTTTCAACAACACAGAGATGATAGATGCGCTTTATTTTCACATTTGATCAAATGTATTTCTTTATTTGAGTTAGTTGTCCCATATGCTTCCTATTTGAGGGACATTTGAGAATATTAAAATCAGATGTTAAGGAAACTAAAAAGTATATTAGGGAGTATTTGTACCGATTAAAGGATGATTAAGGCATTTTAAAGTATTCAGGGGATATTTGAGGAATGGTATTTGTGCAGAAATACAACTCTAGTCTTCATAATTTTGGTTACACCCCTTTTCTTTTTACTGCAACTTGATCTGCACTTGGCACGTTTTGTCTACGTAATCCCTACATAAATGAACAGCTAGTGAGAGTGCATGTTGCAGCAGAAGGGTTAACAGCATAGCGCAGTGAGGCTCCTGACCACAAGGTCTGATGTAAACTCTGGACTCTCCTTGGACACTCGCAGCAGTCGACACTCCCACAAAGAAAACCCCGGCTTATTGACTTAGCAGATGTCTTGTGCAAACACACATAAAACCTACACTCATAGATGCTCCGGCATGCGCACAGCAAACACACACCCAGTGTAACGTACACACAACTGAGTGTTACTCCTTCAGTGAACAGGAATAAAGTGGAGAGGATAGACTCCCATATCAAAACTTCCTTCTATGATGAAGTGATCTGCCCAATAGGTAGACAACAGGGGGACGCAGCGGACAGAATAATCAAAACCGGTCATACCAAGCCGTCCTCAGCAGGTTGTAGATAACGCTGAATTTATATCAAGAAGAAATCTGGTTCCTATCTGAGCCTCCTGCATGTGGAGATGACAGAGTGCACGTTTGGCATGAGATTAAGAGAGCAGTCCATTATTCTCAGATGGAAATGTGTCCATCATTTAGTGTGAAGAGAGTTCAGAGCTAGAAGCAGCAGAATAACTGAAGTTTTAACCTGCATTTGACCCCCTGTGTTCAAAAGCTTCTAAAGGACAGTTTTGCAACAATTCCAGAACCTGTCCCGGGAATTCAACTATTTATACATCATGATTTTTTATATTCTTCTTATCTTTCACAAAAAACACTTGAAAGAAAACTAAAACCTACAATTGATGCATGTACAAAAAAGTATGGTGCGTATTAAAGTCTGACGTATAGTATCTCATTCTCCTGTGCCATAGAGCTCCATTGTTGTCCACAACTATTGAAATTCATCAATAAGCCACACTGTTGCACTTGTTTCTTCATTACCATGAACACAAATACACACGCACACACACACTGTAGTTTATGTTGACCCAATCCCACACACATCTCAAATACCCGTTAGAGCCCCAAATGTGGATTCATCCGCAACTGAAAATAGTCCATAACAAGAGCACTATTTCCTCCCATTTTGGTTACATACTGACGTTTCATAAACACTACAGTGACCAGTTGTTGTAGGAAAATCTTGAGCATATAAAAAAATATATATCTATATTTGTGAGGTGTTTTTTAAAGATGTATGTCTTCATTCGTAGAGAGCAAGTCAGAACGTTTTCAAGGGATTTTGCTGACGTATGAAAACTATACATATACTATACAATAAATCTGCCTTATTCTTTGATCAGTATGAATTGAGTGTTTGACCGTTAAACCTCTCCAAAAAAAGCTGCAGGACATGGGTTAGACGAAAATCCATCCATCCATATTAACATTCACAACTGAAGATCATATATTTCAAGCTGTCCCCTACAAAAGTCAACATGAGCCGCTTACTCTGATTCTTGTTTATTCACATTTTAAAATCATTTCTCATGGTCAAAGTTTTCATTTTGTAGCCTGATAAAAAGAGTTTCAGCACACAGTTCAACTTGTTGCATGACAGAAGTGGACTCCCTTCTTCAGAGTTAATTTAATTCATTTTTATTTTATGAAGCTGCTGTTTTCAAAGGCAAACAATCTAAAAAGGTTTTAGTATTTGTACTGAAACCAAGGTAGGCTGATCACGTTTAAACTAGCGACATATGTTAGTCAAAGTCGACCCATTTTCCTTCCAGAGTAATATTAAAAATACCCCAGAAACCCGGTATTTGTTTACCTCAGGTCTTTCCCTTTATTACTTCCTCCTATTTAGTGTGGACCTTGGAAACACAACCGACCCACTCCACAACACACACACACACACACACACACACACACACACACACACACACACACACACACACAGAATTCCTCCCACTTTGGCCTTTAATCCTGGTCCAGGCTGTAAACATGGTTGTGATAAAGACACACACACACAACTGCTTTAAAGCAACAGTCTGATATAAACTTTGATGGAGGGGGAGGGTGTCTAACGGTGGGCCAACTGGAGACACATCAGAGGATAAGATACTGTCAGTCTTGTCGAAAGTTATCTTTAGAGAAGCTCGTAAACTAACTGACTTTCTTTTTTCAGAGCTTGGACTGCTTGAAAGTTCCCTGAACACACCACAGGGCTGTGTGCAACTGCTAACCTGAAGCCACCAGCCGTTAATAATTGCAGAGCATTTCCACCGATACAAACTGTTCCTGCCACAGCTGGCGACATCACTCCCTAACAGATGGCAGAAGTATACTTGGAGATGATAAATCGCAGGGAAGCAAACAAGGAGAAAATGAAGTGTAAGCATAGGGCTGGATATAAAATGGATAAAACAAATGGATGCATGGGAGGCTGATATAAAAGTGTTGAAATAAAGTTGCTAACAATTGTAAAGAGGGTCAGTTTAGAGCATGGCAGAGGGTTTTACCAACTTATCCCGAGGTTGAACTTTCATTTAAACGTGGGAAAAGATTAAATAATAAATGAGCTGTTCAAAATCGAACAGGTGGCATCACAACGGACAGTTGTTGCACTTTCAGTAAACTAACTAAATTAATTTGAGCTTGATTTCTGATTAAGGGACAGCCCTACCACTGATTTTTGTCAACTAAAAAGTTGCTTTAGCTACACAGAGCTAATAGAAGCTGAATCTAAAGCAGGATTATGCACTTTAGTCTTTGAAAAAGCTAAATCCCAGTGGGTTCACAAGCTTTAGCAAGCCTAATCACACTTCAATGAATCTCTAATGGAGCAAACCACCAAACCAGAGGCTCATTTCTGGTCCGTGTCTCTGCTTCCTGCACAAAATGCTGGACCTTTTGTTTTCCCGCAGCCAGCCAGTCCTTCAATCTAAGAGGGGAAGCGAGACACTCCCTGATAACCCCATGCTTCCTGTGCCTCAGAATTTAATACCCCCGCTGTTTGCCAAGGCGCTCATCTCGGGGGAAAAGAAGGAACCTTGTTACAAAGCAAACATTAGCTATTAGGCAACAAAAACAAAGGAAGGAGGGACAGGAGAGCAGGGAGAGCTGAGATTTCTGAGAACAAAAGCATCAGATGAACGACGTTGAACTTCCGAATGAAAGTGAAAGAAAATAGACTGAGAAAGTGAAATGGGATGTCAGAGAACGTCTTGAAAATGAGAAGGGAGTTTAGGTGGGTGTGTGGGGGGAGGACATTGGGAAAGGCAGCTGGAGGAGGAAAATGGAGAGAGGAGGAGGAGGAGGAGGAGGAGGAGGAGGAGGAGGAGGAGGAGGAGGAGGAGGAGGAGGAGGAGGAGGAGGAGGAGGAGGAGGAGGAGGAGGAGGAAGCTGGGAAATAGAGCAGTGGGAGATAAAGTGAAGGAGAGACCTGCTGAGTTCCTGGAATGTTCTGGTGGGTTTGTCCAGAGGGAGGTCATTTGTAAAGAGCAGTTTGTGGGTTATGAAAGTGTGTGTGTGTGTGTGTGTGTGTGTGTGTTTATGTGAAAACAGTAGTTTCAGCGGGGTGGGATTGTGTAGATATGGTCTGATTGAGAGGTCGAGGTGTTAGCCAGGGCGTCCGGCACGCTCAGACTCGTAGTTGTTGTTCTTGGATTAGCCAAGGCGCCGTTTATGCAGTTTATGATTATGGATAAATAATTGACAAGGTTCCCCGAGCAGAAACAACAGCTACATGTGTG